ATATGGATAGGGGCACATAAGGTGTGGGTACGGAGAATTCGTACACACGACTATAATCTTAATGTAGCAATGAAGAATCTATAAGGAAGTCCTCTTATATTCTTGAGTCTGAAGTATTTGAATGAATTTTTCTTGTGACCTGGAGTCTTGGTCTTTGGCGCTCTCTCTTAGTCTTCCCCTTTCTGTCTCTGAGAGTGCTATTCAGAATTCTGCTTTCACGGCAGCCAAAGGCAAAGGAGAGAGGAATCAGTACACGCAGCTAACTGATCTGCTTCTCCTCCATTTATCCTCATTCCAATTCGATTCCACTTCAGGGGATATGTGCAGACTTCCCACGAGGTCCGGCTTCCCTGCCCTCCCCCGCTCCCAGGGCTTCGCTGCAGGGTGCACGCTGCGGAGAAGAGCTTCCCACTGTGATACAGATGGCGGCTCCCTCCCAGCGCCCCCTGCTCCCACGCACAGCAGGTCTGGGTACAGCAGGGAGCAGCCAAGGAACATTCTGCATTTCCTTATCTCCCAGCAAACTTGAGTTCTAATAAGTTGGCATTTAAACCCAAGGACTGAACATTCACATTTAGATGGAGAGTTGGAGCTTAGATCATGCATTATTTGTTGGTGACATAGGCAAAGCACCTCAAAGTTCCATCTGGAACTCATGTCCTTATTGATGCTGAATTGCTAGGGAGTCAACATGAAGGAAAGCTGTTTACACTGGCCTAATGGTTATGTTGACTGGAAACACCAGCTAGCCCAGTAAAGGGTGCAGCCCCCATACTTTATTTCCAGCATAAAGTGTGAGCTCCAGTTTTGATCACAAGTGTGTGTGTGTGTGTGTGTGTGTGTGTGTGTGTGTGTGTTCACATACCTGTGTAAGTGCAACCATGCAGTGCTCACATGTAGTTTATCCAAAATGGTGGTTGTATTATGCAGAACTTCCTGGGTGCAAATACAGACCCAAAGGGAACCAGCTCATCCAATCAAGGGGTTTTCATTTGTGGTCAGTCCAGGTGTTATATTATAATATGATTAGAATGTTCCCTTCCTCCCCATTTTTTTTTTAAGTCCTGGCTTTCTGTATCTCACCACAGATTGATCTTTTCCACGTGATCTTTTCCATTAATCTTTTCCACACTGCAGGTGGCCCCAGAACTGGACATTTCACAGCTTCGGTCATGGGACAGGGACGTCTGCTCTAACCCTGGTTTCCAGGGAAGGGCATGCAGGCTGCCGGCTCTCACTGAGGCACAGGGTCGTGTGAGAACGGGCGCCCGAGGGCTCCCGGAGCGGATGTGGGGGAGAAGGAATTCTTACAGGAAGGGGGAATGTGGTACTCCAAAGGAGAGGGTGGTGCCCACAGGTTCCCAGCAGACAAGGTGTCTGCTGGTGGTGTTCTTACACATTCCTGAGGACTTACCTCAAATGCATGTCTATTTTAAATCACTTGGCAGACTTAACTGTAATCTTAGATTTTTTTTTCTCTTTCCTGCTTTTTGTCAACTACAAGCTTTAATTATAATTATCCTTCGGTAGGCATGTTCTAGCACTTCTGATTCGTTTATCAAATTGAGCTTAACACAGTTACAAAGTCTAGGGAGAGCCCATCTTGAAGACCACAGAAGGCTCAGCTGTCATTTCAGTAATCCAGTCTCTGTGGCCGGGATTCTGTTCAGCTCTCCTCCATCTCCCTGTGCTATCAGAAACAGTAAGACTGCTGCCTTTCAGCAAATATTTGGGCACACTGCACAAGTGAGAGAGTCCAGCTTTCTCATCTCCATCTAGGTAAGTGGTCCTCACCACAAGCACATTTGGGCTTTGAGCGTTGACTTCCATACTTTGTGTTTTAAGATTTTTAAAAAATATATATTTTTATTGATTTTCACAGAGAAGACGAGAGAGGGATAGAGAGTCAGAAACATTGATGAGAGAGAATCATCAATCAGCTGCCTCTTGCACACTCCCTACTGGGGATGTGCCCGCAACCAAGGTACATGCCCTTGACCGGAAATGAACCTGGAACCTTTCAGTCCGCAGGCCGATGCTCTATCCACTGAGCCAAACCGGTTTCGGCTGTTTTAAGATTTTAGTTCATTTTCAGCTGATCCAGTAAAAGCAAAGTTCTTGGTCATTCTGTGCTTTGCACAACTGTCATTGCCCACGCCCTCTCCGTATCGGTGTCCAACCCTGCCTTTTGCCAGAATTTAGGATTAAGTGAGGAGACTCTGCAGTCCAGACAGGCCCCCCAATGTCTGTCATTTCCATGGGCACAGTGGAAGGCATGGCAATTAAAACGGAACCTGCAGGCTGGGGAGAGTAGAAGTACGAAAATGAGTTCGTGTGAGAAGCCAATTTCTCACCCTCCGATGAAACCGGAGAGGACAGGTGATCCCGGAGTCTGCTGCCAGCTGGGATCTGACCGTCTTGCCTGTGGGGCGGGCATATCTTGGCGTTTCGGGCACAGGTGTGTTTGCCAGCTTGCTTGGTTTGCCAGAGTTGCCCAGATAACTGTCCTTGTAATTCAGAGAGCTCTGAGTGTGCAACTATGGAGGAGTGGGGACAATCTGATCTTTTTTTAAATTTTATTTTAAAACTTTTATTGACTTTAGAGAGAAAGGGAAAGAGAGATAGAAACATCAAAAATGAGAGAGAATCATTGATTGCTGCCTCCTGCATGTCCGCACGAGGGTCTGAGCTCACAGCCCAGGCATGTGCCCTGATCGGGAATTGAACAGTGACCTCCTGGTTATATATAGGTCGACGCTCAACCCCTAAGCCACGCTGTCCAGGTGAACAATCTGATCTTTGTGCACACTTGAGTGTGAATCCCAACTTAAAAGCCTATTAAAAATGGATGAAATCATGGAATAGTCTTAACATTGGAAGGAACTTAGAAGTCAGTAAGGCCCAGATTCCGATCCAAGGTGGGAACCGGTCCTGGAGCCCCTTCGACGGAGGTTCCCAGCTCGATCCCGAGGGGAAGCCGTGGCTCGCAGGTGGCCCCTCTCACCGTGGCTGGGACATGCTGGTATTTCTAGCCTCTGATGGTGGAACTCTCCCTATCTCTCTGCCTCTGCTGCCTCTTCGTTTTGGTGCCAAGGAAATTGAACTGACTCTTCCCACAATGAAGTTGACTTTTAAAGATTTAAGACTGTTATCTTACACCCCCAAAGGCTGCTGTGCCCTGGCTAGGGAGGTCTAACACCCAATGCCTGAGTTTAAAGAAGGGCATTCTGACAGCACTGGGTCCTCAGGACCTTCACCTTCGCTTGTATTCTGTGTGACTTTTCTTAGCATCATTTGTGTGAAGAATTGGCCATATTTTTGTATCTTACCACCCCTCACCCCCACCACCAGCATTCAGAGTTCAGAGCTCGGAAATTCTAAGAACACAAGATTGTATTAAAACACTGGTCTCTGCATCCTGGTGAAGGGTGTGGTTGTCTTTTGTGATGTCAACCCCAGAAGTCAGTGAGTCCACCCTACATTCCTATGTGCTTTCATAATCTCTCAACCTTTCATTTGTGATTTATTTAAAGCGTTGGCCTTTTTCATAAGGTTTAAGTTGTACATTCTAAGACTTCTTAATTCCTCATCTGTTCTAGATTGATAGCCTGTTATTGTTCTTAAGGTGTTGCTCCCTTTGCCCCTAGAACACAACATACTCTTGTCCAAATGTTCCTCCTTCCTTAAAAAGGGCGAACATAGCTCTCAGAGTCAGGTATTGATCAGTGCTGACTGGGTTGTGCTTGGATGCAAGTACTTGGCTCCCACTGATAGAATAAGAGTTTATGATAGATTGTGAAGCAGACAATCTTTTCCGGGTCCAAAACAATAGCTGTACAACCGTCAGCGAGTCGCCAAACCTCTCCAGGCTCCATTTTCCTCAAAATATAAAATCAGATGAAATACTTTGTATTCTTCCAGGTTATTGCGAATGCTGTGAAAACAAGTTATTTAATATTAAGACTGTAGAGCAAATGATACCATGACATTCGGTGGGGATTTTGAGAGTTCAAAAATAACTTAAAAGAAAATATGGATGATGATACGGGTTATTTAGGACTCACATACCTCCAGTTTCAAAATAACAGTAGTTGGTGCTATAGGAAGGAATAGTACATTTGTACCTTGTATTTTAGAGGAATAATAATCTCGTAATTTCTAACACAGTTTTGGGTGATCTGTGATGTGGTCCCATTAAGGCAGAAAGGCTTTCAGGAAGGAAATGGCATTGTTTGGGGAGAAATGAAATCACTCCTCGTTCCCATAGGAGAATAAAAGGGTTGAAACGCAGGGAGTGGCTGTTGATTTGTAAATCGTTTAAATCCCAATTCTCAGCTTTGAAGACCTGAGCCACGGGGTCTCCTGTGAAGCTCCAGGGTGGATCCTGTGGTGCAGTGTTTCCCTGGGAAACTTCTAGAGGCTCGTGTCTGGGCCTGGCCGCTGTGCGAGCGTGAGGAGTCCCTGTTTCCTGAGAAATGCCAAGGGCTCAAAGCAGGCACTTGTCCGATCCACATGTCCTGGGACTTAGGGACGGCTCCTCTTCCTGGGTATTCGGAGGTGTTCTTCTTTTTCCTCCCCCTTTAAAAAGTGTTATCTTTAAATCACAGTTTACAGGCAGCATGACTTTGTGTTAGTTTCAGGTGTACAGGGGGCGAGTTTTTCTCACACACCTGCTTTGTACCACAGACCACTAACGTGTGGGGCCAGCGGAAGCAGAGGTAATTTCCACACCTCCATGCAAGGTCTGACAGTGGTTTCTTGGGGTCATTTCTTTGCTTCCTTTAGTTTCACTTACAACATGAAGCCGTCTAGACGTGGAAAGAAAGTCGTTTTCTGTGCTTTGCTGTTGTTTTTGCAATGACTCGAGTATTAATCACAGCAAATCATCCCGTGGCCTCTGCCGTTTTTCTTCGGAGGGGAAGGACGGTTGCAGTGACCTTTTCACGGTGGAGCACTAACCCGGCACCCGGTGCCCTTTGTGTGTTCTTCTCCGCCCCCAGGGAGTTCTGTCCAACATCTCCTCCATCACCGACCTCGGCGGCTTCGACCCTGTCTGGCTCTTCCTGGTGGTGGGAGGAGTGATGTTCATTTTGGGATTTGCAGGGTGCATTGGAGCTCTACGGGAAAACACTTTCCTCCTCAAGTTTGTAAGTATCCCCCTCCGCTCGTGGTGCAAGCCAAGCGCGCCCCCATCGGGAGGACTCGGTCTTTAGACGAGAGGAGAGGGTGCTGCCCCGAAAATGCTGGCAGAAATACAGCCCGGGCCATGCTTTTCTGTAAGAGAGCCCTCAGTTATGCCCCTGCCCATGCCTCCTTAGCTATACATACACCACCCCCGCCCCATGGCACCCACGGGGGAGTTACACACGTAGTCACAACTGCTTTCCCATCCCTGAATTATTATACCTTTGGGACCGAGGTGGTTCTGTAGACATCATTTTCTTCTTTTAAGTGATTCGTGCTTTCCCTTTTGAGCACACAATCAGAAGGAAGTTGTTCAGCGGGTTGGTGTAGAGAAACCAGACATAAGCCCCGTGGCTGTGGCCTGTGCAGATTAAATCTGCTAAGCAGCAGGTTTGGGTGAATATGGAGAAACAGTGAAAGGCAACATCTGCAGCATACTTTTCAGATCCCGTGCAGGGTGCTGTGACCGCTGTTGGCATGAGTGCATTCGGGAGAGGAGTTTCTCCCCAGGGGCAGGTGGGTGTTAAAAGGAGAGCGTGAACAGTGACGCCTTCCTTTGGAGATGCCTCCCCAAGGAGAGCAGGGTGGCTTGTGTGTGTGTGTGTGTGTGTGTGTATGTGTGTGTGTGAGAGAGAGAAAGAGAGAGAGAGAGAGAGATAGGGTCGGTGAGTGAGGCCAAAGCTCACTGAACATGCCTGTTGTCTGGATGTGGGCATTTGGTGGCGGCCATATCAAGCCTTCCACAGGACAGTATCCACTCCACTTCCCTTTCCAAAAATAAAAAGTATAGGGGGTGGGGGGAACCTACTCTCCTATGATGAGAGGAGATGGTTAGATTTCTAGAGAATAGTGTAAGTTTAATATCACTAATCTCAACGTTTATGACACAGTGTCATTGAGGGCCATTGTCATTCAAACAGGAGCTTCAAGCAGGACTAGTCTCAGCTGTCATGAAGAAGGCGATTCTCTCCCCAGCACATCTGCCACATCATACTCTGGCATTTTTTTTCTTTTTTCTTTTCTTTTTAAAATACATTTTATTGATTTTTTTTTTTTTCAGAGAGGAAGGGAGAGGGATAGAGAGTTAGAAACATCGATGAGAAACATCGATCAGCGCTGCCTCTTGCACAGCCCCTAGTGGGGATGTGCCCACTACCAACCTACATGCCCTTGGTTTGGAATCAAACCCGGAACCCTTCAGTCCGCAGGCCAATGCTCTATCCATTGAGCCAAACCTGTCAGGGCAGCATTTTTTCTTGTACATCCCCAAGAAGAGCAGGCTCCCTGTCCATATGTTGGGCAGCTCTGGCCCAGACAAGGTCTGGAGGCTGTTTCACCGGGAAGTTCATAGGACTCGCGCTGACAGGGAAAAACCAAGGGAGACTTGGTCCGGGTGCAATTTAATGAGCCAGTGGGTCTCTGCTCTGTATACATGGGTCTCTGGTGGGAGGAGCTAATTTCCCAAACTCTATTTCTCTTGCATCCACCCACCCACCCACAATTCTATTCCTCACCGAGTCAAAGGCCTACGGAGGCCCCAGGAAGGTTTTGTCCCTGATAGCAACCTGCCAGTCCTCTTAGCGTGGGCTATTTCTAAAGCTTGAGCTCACCTCCCTCAGCTCTTCCGTAGTCTGTTTTGGGCTTCATCGAACTTGCTGATTGCCACTATTTTATCATTTTTAGCCTTCATGCCCCCAAATGATTTACTTTAATCATATTGGTTTATAAGGGTAGTCCCTTTATCACTTTTATAGATGAGGCTACTAGAGTTAACTTGCATAGGCAGAGAATGACACATTTCTCCAAGTTATCACCTTAAATTATAAAGTCCCATGTTGCAAATAAAGAGAATTATGTTATTTTCTGGCTTTTTTAAGTCTTGGGGGATATTTTAAATGGCCCCTTTCTCCATTTACTACATGAGGTAAAAACTGGCCCAGAATAGTCTTTGAAATAAGTAGGAAGTCAATGGCATCATCATTCCAAACAGCCTCCACCATCTGACGCTGGAAGGCCAGGAGAATTGCTGGGGGGAATCCAAGAGCTGAGCTACCACGACATAGAAATGGAGCCTTCTCATGGACTGAGGCCCTAGAATGAAGCCTGTGAGTTCATCTCTTCCCCTTAGGAAATGGGGAAATTTGCTCACAGGGCCCATTTCTGCCAAATTTTGATAAGAATTTAATTTGGACTCAATTTTTGATATGCATATTGTATAGTATTATGTGAAAATTTACCAGGGTAACAAGAAAATGAACCTGCCTAGCCTTTGTAAAGGTGAAGGCGAAAATTTAATTAGAACTTTTGCATGACTTAGGTCTTATTGTTTGTGTGCACACACACATGAGGTAGCTATGATGTTCTCATTAATGTCATGACTGTCATGTAGGGAGGTACCTATAATAATAAAGGGAGGGGAGTTGTTTTATGCTAAGCCATGGGTCGGCACAGCTCGGCTCGTGAGCCACATGTGGCTCTTGGGCCCCTTGAGTGTTCTAACGCCACTTCTTCAAAATAGACTCTCCCAGGCTGAAAACCGACTTCTGCGCATGGGCCACGAAGTTTCATTCGCACTGTACGTGCATGCCCACACATGGTATTTTGTGGAAGAGCCACACTCAAGGGGCCAAAGAGCCGCATGTGGCTCGCGAGCCGTGGTTTGCTGACCACTGTGCTAAGCTATAGGGTGGCCATTGCATAAAAGTAATAGGCTTCCCCTCCCCCCCAAGTGTGAGCGTTTAATGAACTTCCTCTGTGTGGATTCAAGCCACCAGGACACAGACCCCTCTCCCCCAACACCTTCATCTTCTCCTCTGCTCTTCTCTGACGAACTTGGCCTTCATGATGATAGGCTGTTTGGGAGCTTTCCCTGCCCTAGATAGCGGCTGGATTGCACCACGTAAGTGATAGGAGCACCTCTGGGACTGTCCACTGACCCAAATCCACAGTTTATCATGGTCAACAGTTGGGCCGAGCTCTGGTTCCCCTCGTACCAACTTCCCAAAGGGCCCTGGGCCATAGTTGTGGAAGTTGATCCTGTGATGATGCAAGCCTCCATCACTGAACCCCTCCCCTCCCCCCTCCTGTGCTTGCCGAGCTGAGATGCAAGAGCAAAAGTGACCATTTTCTTGTCCTTTTCCTAGATTGAAGAAAGCTCCCTTTGAAGTTACCGGTACCAGTGATGATAATGAACTCGTTAGGTTCTATTGCTAGTGAGCTCTAGGGCAGATAAGCAGGAGCTCTGACCCTGAGGGCTGAGCTGGAGGGCCTTGAATGGGGCCTGAACCTTGGGATCCTAGACTTTGCCAGGTGCTTATTTCTTCCTCCCACCCTCCCCTTATGCCCACCCTCTCAGAACAGCGCCTGGCAGCCTGGGCAACACTGTCAGACACACACTGTGATATGGTTCCCCCTCCCCCCGTCCCTTACTGTAAGAGGCTCTTTGGAGACAGGGTATGGGCCCATTCATCCTTGTTTCTGTAAACTCCACCCACTCAGCTCAGGGCCTGACCTCTTCCAGGTCATTCAGTTGATGTTTGTTGCATGAATACACACTTTTAATCTTTTTGTTTGTTTGGTTGGTTTTTGTTAACCTTCACCAGAAAACATTTTTTCCATTGATTTTTGTTTTTTACAGAGAGAGTAAAAAGGAGGGGGTGGGGGAGAAACATCTATGTGAGACAGATTCATCTTTTGGTTGCCTCCCGCACAAGCCCGATCACTGGGGCCTGGGATCGAACCCGAAACCCAGGCACATGCCCTTGACTGGGAATGGAACACAAGACCCTTCAGGGCTTGGGCCGACGCTCAAAGCACTGAGCAACACAGGCCAGGGCCGTTTTTAGTCATTTCCTCTGAGCCCGCCTCCACACGGTGTGCTCCTGGTTGGCCGCTTGAGGGCAGCCTGTGGAACGTAGACACAGCCACAGCTTTGGTCCCTCGGCCTCCTTCCTCGGCCACCCCCTGTCCTGTCCTGCAGCCTCCTAAGCTCTGCTGACAGGGGTGTCGTCTTTCTGTCCTCATTACGAGAAGTTTGCCTGCAGTTTGTACCCTGCTCCGTCACAGCCTCATTTCTCAGAAACTCTTTGAACCAATTAAAATGGAAAAGGGTAAAAGCGTGGAGGCTGGAGGAAGTGGAAAGAACTGGAGGTGAGAAGGTACGTGGTATGACTAAGGCGAGGCTCTGCTGAGTGTTCTAGACGGAAGGGAATCTTCTCCGATTCATGGGCCGTTCCCACGTTACCCATGGCCTCTCACCTTCCCGTGGCCTTCTTCCACGCCCGTCATCTGCACTCTGATGTTATTTAAAACATTCTGAGGCTGGCGCTTCACAGAGAAAAGCGGTTTTGTTTTATTTTCTTGGTGGGGAATTATTTTCATGGCTCAGTCACCCCACAACTTCCCCTCTGCTCTTTTCATCTAAGATACACATGTGTGCTGCTTTACCCTGGGGAGCAGGTGCAGAGGGGAATCGGGGCAGTGTCTGAATCCATAAAAGGAACATATAGCATACAGGAGGATCCAGGCCACAGTCACACATGACAGGTGATCTTTAAATATCAGGGTGATTTATTTCTCAGTGCTGCAAAAGCTTGCTAGAGGAAGGGCCGGACCATTGTTGAGCGCCTGGCAGGCAGCACATTAATCAGGAGAAATTCATTAGGCCTTAATGTGACGCTAATGAGAAATCCCTATCATCTGTGTTTGCTTGTGAGCTTTGTTGGTTAATTGTCAAATAGAGCCACCAGGGCCCCAAAATGTGATTATGAAATGATTTTTTTTTAAAGTCCTTTCTTGGAGTATAATATTTTTATTAATGAACTTTAAGGAACGGAAAGTTACCCGCTTTGGACGTGTGGAACCACCCAGTGTAACTACAAATCTTTTTAGAGGGAGCCATTGAACTGCGTACGATCAAAACAGCGCGTGTAACGGCTCTCCGTGTCTGTGTCTTTTGTCTTAGTTTTCTGTGTTCCTGGGCATCATTTTCTTCCTGGAGCTCACTGCCGGGGTGCTGGCATTCGTTTTCAAAGACTGGATCAAAGACCAGCTGTACTTCTTCATAAACAACAACATCCGAGCGTACAGGGATGACATTGACTTGCAAAACCTCATAGACTTCACCCAGGAATATGTAAGTGTGAACTCGGTTTCTTTTCAAGTTGAAAGCCTCCTGGGAAGGATGGCCCCAGAGAGCATCCTCCTGGCTCCGCGTCTGCCAGCTGGGATGCCCCTTTGACGGGCCCGCGCGGCTTTTGGTTTTTGTTCGCTTGTCTGTGTATTCTTCTCTGACTTGTTCTGTGGCCTACACGATCTGTGCTTCTCATGGAAGAGCCCTGTTTTCCCTTAATCTTCATTTCTGCCCAGAGAAGCAAAGAAGAAAACTCTTGAGCAAGAAGGTTCTAATCACAGTTGCCCTTTGCTGCCGACCCTGGAAGAAGATTGCTTTGCTACAGGTTTAACATCTTATTGGGCGTTAAATGTGGATTCCGCCTTGCTCCTTGCCCAATTTTAGTCACCCTCCACACTTCACAGCTCAGAATAACATCCTCAGGAGGAGGGTAATTCCCTGGCATATACCTATTCAGTACTATTATAGCACGCACGCACACGCGGGTTAAACCAAAGTTGAGCAAGTTTTACCCCCACATGGCCTCTGCCAAGTGGAGAATCGGTGCGGAGTGCCCCTCCCACCCGGTTTCTGAACATTTCTCTGTGGCCGCCCCTGCACGGCAAACGAAGGAGCAGACCCCCGTTCCGCTCAGAATGCAAAATGACATCTAAACAGGGCTCAGAACATACAGATCTGGTGCCCAAACCCAAGCAGCTCAACGACTTTGGGTAATAGGACCTTGGCCTGCTTCCCCAACAGGAACGTGGAAATAGTAAAAGCTGCCGTTTAACACGTGGAGATTCGGTGACACTCGAGTAAGATGTGCTTGGTGGCTTCACAGCAGGCGTAAGGTGCTGTGGTCCTGCACACGGGCAGACACTCCACCAATCGGCTAAGCCGCGCAGCCCCGGACCGTGGTGTCCATGATGCTGATGCATATGGAGGAGGAGCTGGGTCCCTTTGAGAGAGGGAGGAGAGGGCTGTGTCAGCTTATCCGAGACACACACACACACACACACACACACACACACACACACACCAGGCCCTCAGAATGGAGCGAGCTGGGTTGACTTTGTGGCAGCAAGGCCTGCCCTGGAGTGAGCGGCACTGGGGCGTGAAATGAAGCCCCCTGTCATCTCCTCCGCAGCCCTCCATGCTTTGTTAGGTCACAATGGATGCAGGCGCACGCCTTGCCAAGTATCACTGCTGCCTCATCTGCATGACAGCGCTGACGGAGCTCTGCAGCCAACTCTGGGAGGCGCAGCCCAAGCCCTCAGAGAACCCGATGAGGCGGACGAACATGCGTACACACGTTCTCTTGAAGTGCTGTCTGCTTTGTGGGGAAATGCTGTCGTTTCATGTGATTTTTCCTTTTCTGTCGCGGAGCTGATTGTTCTGAAGTAGCTGCTGGTCCTAGAAGCCGTCCAGTGTCATGGCTGGATGTGTAACTGGGAGATGTGGAGCTAGTCGATGGGGGAGGAGACCTCTGAGTCAGGCCCCTCGGAAGACCCACGGAATTTAACATGATTATATTTCAATGAGACGATTGCATTCTTAAGTAATTTTCTGAAAATGTAAACACCTGCTCTTGTGTGAACAGATTCCGAGCACTAACAGATACGTAATGAAAAGTCAGCCTCTAAAACTTAGGGGGGTGATGGGTGTGCTCACAATTTTGATGGTGGTGATGGTCCCATGTTGTTTACATATGTAAAACAATGATCCAGTTGAACACTTTAACTGTGTGCAGTTTATTGCATGTTAGTGATACAGCCAAAAAAACAGATTTTTTTTAAAAACCATTAAGGTATAGAGATCAAAACTGTAAAGAAGGAAATCTCTAGATATCCCACCCCCGGCCCTAGTCGCCTCCTTCAGACACTGCTGTTTAGTGTCTTATTTATCCTTCTAGAATGTTCCCACATGCACCAAGCTGTTCTAAGGGAGCCCTGCTATAACCTCCTGCTCCCCTTTCTTCCCCCACCTAACGCCGTGGGTCTCATCGACCTTCCCAATCACAGGCCCACGCATTCCTACAGACCTTCCGCCTGCGTTGGTGGGGGCTGTTAGGTCCAGTCTGGAGTAAAAATAAGTTCTGGGACGGAAGGGAGGGTGGGGCCGGCAGGCCTCGGGGTGGCCGTGGGGGCGGGTGTGGGGGCAGCGCCCGTGGCCTCCGGGTCGAGGTGTCCTAATTCTCTCCTGTTTGCTCTAGTGGCAGTGCTGTGGGGCTTTTGGAGCTGATGATTGGAACCTAAATATTTACTTCAATTGCACAGATTCCAATGCAAGTCGGGAGAGGTGCGGCGTGCCATTCTCCTGCTGTACTAAAGACCCCGCGGTAAGTGAGGCAGCCCCTCGCCCCCTGCTCCCGCATCGCCCGGGCGGGCGGTGTGTAGGCCGGGCAGAGTAGGGTGGTTCTTGGACCCTCTACCCGCTTAGTCCTGACTGTGGCGCCTGCACGGGGCCTTAGGGCTAGTTCCTCCCAGCAGGAGGGATCATCGCGGGTGCTCCCTCACCAGGGCACTCCGGCTCCTGTTCTGAGCCTCTGTGTGCCTGGGCTCCTTTAAGCCTGGAACACTCCTGCCAGCAGATATCAACATTATCTTCCCTTTTTCAGTGAAATCGAGGTCCCTGGGTTTTAAGTCCCTACCCAAGCTCCATCGCCAGCGAGTGTTGGCGCTGAGCATCAGCCCCAGGCAGCCTGCTGCTCCTTCGTTAAGGCTCACCTGGGAGCTCTCAGAGGGTTGTGGTCAGTAATCCGCTTAGTTGTGGGGGACACGTTGGAACGGAGGAGTCTGAGACAAGGATGCTCTGTGGGAAGACCATAGCTGCCCAGACTCATTCGTAGCCTGTCAGCCCCCACGTGTGCACCCTCAGGGCTGTCCTTCCCCCATCAAGCAGCTCCGAGTGGGCACTGATGAGTTCCTGGCCAGTTCCCCTGGAAGGTAGAGGGTCTGCAGCTCCTCACAAGGGGCGTGGCCTTGGGTGGGGAAGCAGAAGTTCCCTGCAGCTGCCCATGGCCCCGCCCACGGAGGGGGTCAGCCTGGCTGTTACTCTTGGTCTGAAGAGACTGAGAATCAGGAAGGCCTGTGCTTGCTGCTCTGGGTCTCGCCGGGACAGCTGACCTTTCCCCGGGTTTGTTTTTCCCTTCCCTCTGAGGAGGCCCAAAGGCAGGAGTACCCGGCAGAGCCCAGGGTGCCCGCGCAGGCAGTCTCGCGCTGGCCGGCAGGTGCCAGCGGCTCTGTCTCCGGTTCTGCCATGTTAACACTCCCTCAGACGAACTCTGAGGCTCTCAGAAGGCATTATGTCTCCCTTTCGGCGACAGATCCTCTGGGTAGAGGTATCTCATTCCATAAATGTCAAGATAAGAAATTCCACCCACTCCCTGCAGAGGGGAAAAAAGAAACAAGCCTAAAAGAGGGAAAGCCACATTTCCAATCAGGGCTGTTGGGTTACTGAACATGTGATATGTGACTAGAGTAAGGTGACCAGATGTCCCGCTTTTGGCAGGACAGTCCCGATTTTTAACAATTTGTCCTGTGTCCCGCGGCGTTTTAAAAAAGTCCCGATTTTTGGAAAGATTCTTTTAAATCTTTTAGACTTCTTTTAAAACGCCGTGGGACGTGGGACAAATTATTAAAAATCAGGACTGTCCCGCCAAAAGTGGGATGTCTGGTCACCTTAGACTAGGATGTTGTTTTGTTTTTGATGAAGTCACCTGTTCTCATTGAAAACTCATTTAAATAATACAGAAATAAACATACTCAAAAGTAGAAGTCCCCCACCCCCCACACCAAAGAGACCAAATATGAAGCCAGTCATTGTGCCCATTCAGCATGTTTTTGTTTAAATATATTTTATTGATTTTTTACAGGGAGGAAGGGAGAGGGATAGAGAGTTAGAAACATCAATGAGAGAAACATCCATCAGCTGCCTCCTGCACACCCCCTACTGGAGATGTACCCGTAACCAAGGTACATGCCCTTGACCGGAATCAAACCTGGGACCTTTCAGTCCACAGACCAACACTCTATCCACTGAGCCAAACCGGTTAGGGCAAGCATGGTTTTTATCTGTCTCCAGTTCCCTGAACACTTTAAATGTGTCGAGGCCTGCCAGCTCTGAGTCCTGGACTTCCCATACAATGGTCTTGCTCCCCTTCCTGGTATTTCCTGAGCCTCTGTCTCCCTTGTTTGGAAAAGGGCATATTTTAATACCTGCTTCCGAGGATTGTTAAAATGATTACATGGGGTAACATATCAAAGGGCTTGCGGAGGCGCGGTCCCTCTGTGTGCCCCAGTGCACACCTATTCCTCCGAGGGGGCATCTTCTGCTGATTCCTCCAGGGGTTTTCTGACCGGCATGACTATCGCTGTCCTCTCTTCTTCCCCCCAGGAGGATGTCATCAACACTCAGTGTGGCTACGATGCCAGGCAGAAACCAGTAAGTGGGACCTCACCTTGTCGCTTAGCACCCAGGGTGTTGGAGGCGCTCTTGAACCTCCGTGGTGACCTGTGTTCTCCTCTTCCCTTGTGAAGGAGGTCGACCAGCAGATCGTAATCTACACGAAAGGCTGCGTGCCCCAGTTTGAGAAGTGGCTGCAGGACAATTTGACCATCGTGGCCGGTGTGTTTATAGGCATCGCGTTGCTGCAGGTAAGGCCCGGCTTCTTCCCGGACGGCACAGGGAGGTGATGCCTAGGAGAATCCTCACCAGGCCAGCACTCTGCCTGACCACGTGAATGGTCCAGCATTTAAGACACAAGTGGTGGGGCTGGGAAACAGACCCAAATGATGTGGTTTTTATTAAAGCTCTGGTTTGTAAACTTTCTGTCTCCGGCCCACCTTCCCAAAGTGCTAGTGAGGAACAGGAGTGCCCACTTCTTCGCCTGGACAGTCCCGAGTGTGACTTTTTCATCCTATGGAGATGGAGATGTGATACTTTCCTCGGAGCCCAAATGCGGCACAGTGGTCGAAAGAAACAAAAGAAGATCTAAATAACGGAAAGCCTTCCCATACTCAGAGACTGAAAGGCTTCCTGTCGCTAACGTGGCAGGACTCCTCAAATCCATCTAAAGATTCAGTGCCATCTCTGAATTCAAACTGCATTTTTAATTTTTCCCCCCAAAATGGACACATTGATCCTAAAATTCATATGGAAATGCAAGGGACCCAGAATAGCAAAACAGAACGAAATTGGAGAATTCACATTTCCCAATTCCAGACTTACTTCAAAGGTGCAGTCATCAAGATGGTGCCTCCTGGCATAAGGTTGGCATATAGGTCAGTGGAATGGAATAGAAAGTCCAGAAGCAAACTCATACATCCATGGCCAACAGATTTTTGACAAGGGAACCAAGACCGTTCACTGGGGCAAAAATAGTCTTTTCAATGAATGATGCCGGCCCAACTGACTATCCATATGCAAAAGAATAAATTTGAACTCCTACCTCACACCATACATGAAAATTCACTCAAACTCTGGACCAAAGACCACAATATAAGAGCTAAAACTATAACACTCTCAGGAGAAAGTACAGGTGTAGCTCTTTGCCACCCAGAAGTAGGCAGTTTTCATAGATGCCACACTACAAGCACAAGCAACCAAAGAAATAGTAGGTCCATTGGACTTGGCCAACATTAAAAACTTCTGTACTATGAATACTGAGAAAGTGGAATGACAGCCCACAAAAGCTGAAGAAGATATTTTGCAAAGCATTCTATCTGATAAGGATCAAGTATCTGGACTATACCAAGAACAACTCAACAATTAAAAAGACAAACCCAATTTAAAGATGGGCAAAGAATTTGAATAGTCTCCAGAGGAGACACAAATAGCTAGTAAGCATGTGAAGAGATGCATGTTACCGTTAATTGTTAGGGAAATTTGAATAAAAACCACAGTGAGATACCCACCACCTCACACACAGCAGGATGGACGTACAGTTGACCCTCGAGCAGCATGGGTTTCAGCCGTGTGGGTCCACTCATAAGCACATTTTTTTTCAACTGACCACAGTTCAGTTGATCTATGTAGTTCGCCTGACTTAGGTTGGGAATCTGAGTATGCAGAAAACTGACCAGTTAGGTGTGGATTTTCAACTGCTGCGATTACAGCACCTGTAACCCCCATGTTGCTCAGGGGTGGACTGTAATGAGCAAGGAAGATAATAACGAGTTGTGGAGGATGTGAAGAAATTGGAACCCTCACACATCACTGGAGGGAATGAAAATGATGCAGCCTCTACAGAAAACAATTTGCAATTCCTCAGAAAATTGCAGTTATCGTATGACCCCAAAATTCTATTCTGAGGGATGTAAACCAAAGAGAATTAAAAACATGTATTCACCCAAAAACATTTATACAGATGTTCATAGTGATATTATTCATAAGAGCCCAAAAAAGGAAACACTGCAGATGCCCATCACCTGATGAGTGGAAAAACAAAATATGGTTTATCCATATACTGGAATATTATCCAAACCATCAAAAGGAATAACTCCTGGAACATGCTACAACATGGGTGGACCTTGAACACCCTGTGCAGTGTAAAAGCGGACTGACACAAAAGGCCAGATGTTATATGATTCCATTTATATGAAATGTCCAGAAGGAGCAATTTCAAAGAAAACAGATTAGTGGTTGGCAGGACTGTGGATGTGGGGGGCATGGGAATGACTGCTTATGGGTACAGTTTCTTTCTGAGGTGATGAAATGTGTTGGAAACAGATAGTGGTCATAGTTGCGTATCCCTGTGAATACACTAAAAACCATTGAATTATGCACTTTAGAAGAACAGGTTTTACAGTATATGAGTTACATCTCAATTTAAAAGATCAAAGATAAGAAAAATCGGATTCAGCCCGGCCAGCGTGGCTCAGTGGTTGAACATTGACCCATGAACCAGAAAGTTGAGGTTTGATTCCCAGTCAGGGTATATGCCCAGGTTGTGGGCTCGATCTCCAGTAGGGGGCGTGCAGGAGGCAGCTGATCAGTGATTCTCTCCCATTGTTGATGTTTCTATTTCCCTCTCCTCCCTTCCTCTGAAATCCATAAAATATATTTAAAAAAGAAAAAGAAAAATAGGGTTTATTGGCCAAGGAAAAGCCTAATGATGTTCAGAGTTTCACTGTTGGACTCTTTCTCTTCCTTCCTCAGATCTTTGGGATATGCCTGGCCCAGAACCTGGTCAGCGACATCGAAGCGGTCAGGGCTAGCTGGTAGGGCAGGGCGCCTGCCACCGCTGCAGAACACTGGACACCCAGCCTCCGCTCCCTCCGGCGGCCTGACCGCGTCCACGCCACCGGACCGTCCCCGGGGCCTCCTGCCATCCCACCTGATGGAGCTGCCGAGAACTTGTTTTGAGTGGGAAACTGAGAAATGCTGCTTACTGACAGAATTAAAGAAAAAAAAAATAACCAGTATGAAAGTCGTTGCGCCGTGAATCTCTACTGTAGCCATGAATTTATGGATGGTTGGATACTTAACCAAAAAAAAGGAAAAAAGGGAGGGCGGGGAACACGTATGCACTTGAAGGTGTGGGGAAAGCCTTGTTGTCTCCGGGAGTGAACGGCGGGCTGGGGGCGGCAGCCTTCCCCTTCCTCACGCCATGGCCTGAAGACGTGCATCTTTCCTAAAACCCAGCGCCTTCCCTGTGAGGGCTGGGCCATTGGACACTCCATTGGACACTCCCTTCGCTGGACACTCCAATGAGCGACGACAGCTCGTGGCCCAAGAAGAAGAGAGCTTGTCCGTGGGGTCAGGTTTTGGGATGGCATTCAGCACGTGACGTGCCCGGCCCATCGGGCCTCCTGACGAGAGAAGCTGTGTGTTCCGCGTGCACGGAGCAGGACCACGGGAGCGCTCGGTGATGCCGGATGGTAGCAGGACAGATCTTTTTTCTAGGTGGGCCTGCGCTTTATTGACCAGTGACATCCAGGAGAAAGAACATGAGGCTCGTGACGAGGTGTTAGTTGAAGACACCCTCACCCCAGCCCCTCACGTCGGTGTCGGATTCTTCAGAAACTCTGGGGCTTTGGCTTTTTTTTCTTTTTTTTTCTTCTTTCCCTTTTTTGTTTTGGTCTCCCCAAAAGCTGGCGTTTCTGTTAAGGTTTAAAGTGTTTTCTTACAAACTTGAATATTAATTTTGTGTGTGTCATCTCCCCACATGACCTGTGAATCTGAACCCACCAGTTTCCCTTCCCACCATCTCTCTGACAACATGTCTAGGTGTGGGGTGGGCAGCACCGGGTGTGGCGAGGGCTCCTGGCTGGGAAGGACCTGCTGGGCCCACACAGATGCATCCATGGACTCAACCCCTCAGCCATATGGGTCGTCGCCGTGGTCTCTGCTGCATCCTGCCCTGCTCTCGCCTGGGATGGGAGTAAACCTTTTCCAAAACAACATTGACACAATCAAAAAGCTTCTAGTGGGGTTTTTCCCTCATCTGGTTTTAGTTTCACTCTTATTTTTTTTAAAGAGAAGCATTCATGGGCAGAGTTCTTTCTGTTCTCGTAGAGCAGATGAACCATCAGGATGGCCACAAAGCACAAATACTCCGAGGGGGACGCTGACGGGCAGGTGTTCTGAGTCTCAGGTGGAAAACCACCTCCAGGTGCTGCCACCCACCTCTGGCCTGCCTCCAGGGGGGAGGGACCCATTTTTGCCCCCAGATTTTAATCCAGCCTCATCTGCCAGGATAGCACTCTCCTGGGGGAGCAGGTATCAGTCTGTGGAACGCTGGGGAAAAAAACCACAGGCGTGTTTCACGGCAATGACACATTTGCTAACGCATGGCCGGGCCGCTGGCGAGCACACTTGGTGAAGCTTGAGCAAGGCTTTCCGCTTCCGCCCCTCGGGCTGCCCTGCGGCCGGTGGGCGTGTCGGTCTGGTCTGAGAAAGGACAGCAGTTCTCTGAAAAACACCTGGCCTCTGGGGTTTGGGTGTGTCTGATCTGCATGTGCGTGCGTGTGTGTGTCTGTATCATTAGCGATGTCCATCCCATGCTCCAGCTGTAAGATGATTTTATCCCGCCTCGCCCCCACCACGGCTGTCCTCCTGTGATGTCATTCCCACACGGAGGCTCTGCTCCCGGCTGGCGCGCTTGTCCTTTCTGTCCATTACCTCATCCTCCAGAGAACCCCCCTCTGACCAGCTGACTCAGAACCGGGCGAGAGGCCCACCCTTCGGCACATCCAGCGAAAGGCCAAACGGAAGTCCAAGTGAGTTTTAAATTTTAACGAAGCGCCCTTTATTTTTTACACTTGAGAGTGATTGTAATAAAGGCTGTCATTAATAAACTTGGTTCTACCTTACACGTCTGTCTTCGTTGCTTCACTCTTGAAATTGCAACGGTCTCGAATGCAGTGATCCCCAAACTTCAGCAGCTAGGGTCAGGATCCTCGGACAGCTTGTTGAAACACAGGTGACTGTGCCTGCCCCGTTCCCAGAATTTCTGACTCAATGCTTCTGAGGAGAAGGGGTTGAGAAGGTGCTGTCCTGACTGGTTCGAGGGTGGTGATGGTTTGCTGGTGATGCTGTTGTCATGCATTTTCAATCACAATTAGAGAACCCCCGCCCCGGTCCAGTTCTCTCAGGGGAAGGAATAGGGAACATGTTGTGATGGAAAGGGAAAGCTACCGGCTGCCATGGGCGGAGCTGGATGTGTAGGAAATCTCTGTTCCTAAGGCCATTGCTGGTCCCAGTCTCCCAGAGACCACGTGGGTTGCAGATCGTCAGGCCTTGCCCCCAGCAGTTCTGTGGTGGGGGAGCCAGAGCCTATATATATTGTATTTTTCTTTCTTTTTTTTATTTTCATAGAACCTATATTTTTAAGAAAGTCCCATTGAAAATGTAATGCACAGTGAAAATTAGGACTCGCGTGGGCCTAGGTAAATCTTGATAATATCCACAACCTTTTTCTAAGAAAATAATTTCTAGTCATCTCTTTGAGCAGGAATCTTAGCCCGTTGGAGAAATGCTGTCAACTTTTATTTTGAATTATCACTGCAGAAGGAGACTCCTGTCTTTTGAATGGTCAGGGGTTTTCTTCAAAGATTAAATGAAAACAAAATTTTAAGGTTCATGCACAGTATTTTCAGACCCTGCCACTGTGCCAAGACTGGTTTGGGTAATGTTTTGCCTCAGACCCTTGGATACTTGAGAGCACAAATGTTGTTTTGACTTTAGGGGAGTGTATCCGTGGTAATAGGGGGTCACCAATCCCGATTTCTTGAGTTTTCTTAGCTGTGCTGGAGAGATCTCATATGTACGGAGGCCGTTTGTCCTCCTTGCTTCTCGGCAAACTCTAGGCCCAGAAAGGAGAAATATTACAGTTCAGAAGTAAAGGGATTCAGCCTGGCTGGTGTGGCCCCGAGGTTGAGCATCGACCTATGAACCAGGAGGTCATGGTTCGATTCCCGGTCAGGGCATATGCTCAGTTGCGGGCTCGATCCCCAGTGTGTGGCGTGCAGGAGGCAGCCAGTCAGTGATTTTCTCTCATTGATGTTTCTGTCTCTTCCTCTCTGAAATCAATAAAAATATATTTTGAACAAAAGAACTAAAGGGATGCTTTGTCTCCGAAACTCAGAACTTATAGGAAGTCTCCTCTGTGTAGGCAGGCTTGGAGGAGGATTATTCAGTCTCTGTCTCTGTTGTTTGAACCGTTACCACAAACGTCTGCGTCTGTGATTTAAAAATATCTAGTAGTGTTTTTAAAAATGAACACAGGGATTAAAAAGTAGAATTTTGCATCAGGAGACACTTGTAAAAAAAAAAAAAAAAAAGATGTGTTTTCTCTCTACCCAGGAATTAACCTCTAACTTGTGTTTCGGTTTTCTTCCTGCCGCAGGCCCCTCCTCCTTCTCTCGGGGGTTCTGAGAAGAGTCTCTGGGCTCTTTCTTATTTTGCACGCCATGCCCCGTGCAGAAATTCTCAAATTGTGCTTTCAAAATGCATGGCTCTGCAGAGTTTCTGGAGCTCCTCTCAGGGCTGCTCCTGGCCGCTGGAGCCCTGGCAAGCGGCTGGACAGGAGGAGCCGGAGCCGGGGACCTGTCTGGCCCTCTTGGCTCTTTGGGTCCTTGATTCCATGAAGCCCCGTGTCTCTGGGGAACCCCTGTTCCGACTCCGGGGAGGAGGGGGAAGCTCTCAGGGAGCGCGTGCCAGCTTCCCCCCGAGGCTCTGGGGCTGCTTCCAGGTGTTGCATCCTGTCTCAGGATGGGAAGCCTGGTCTTGGAGCTAGAAGGGGGATGAGAAGGAGGATGTAGGGTTTGCCTGGAAGTAGGGCCCCGCTAGGCCTCTTCGTGGTGACATGATAAAACACACAGGAATCTGTAGGTGACAGCAGACGGGGCAGAGGTACCTGGGTGGGAAGGGCGCAGAGAAGAGAAGCCGAACTCACTTCAGGCTGACGTGAGCCTTTCTTTTTGGAAGACTTGGTGACAAAGTCAAGTTGACCAGGTTGCAGCTTTGAGGACTTCTTTGATTGGAGGGATTAAAGATGCTTCCTTTGGCCTGTTCCTGCTGAGGAGTTCTCCCTCAGCGGGGGACCCTGAGAGGATGCCTGGGTTAGCCCACCCCTGGGATCCATGGACCCGAAGCAAACGCCTCAGGCCCCTGCACGGCTGGTGCAGCTGATGACTCTGCTGCCAGGGATCCTGTGGGAAGAGGGGTGAGCTCCTGGGCTTTAAATTTCATTCACAAATCGGGACACAGCAGTGTGCAAACAGGAGAGCGCTTCTCAGGCTGTTGCCTTGTATTTAGTGTGGAGTTGCGTCATATGTGGGAGAAAAACAACCTTTTAAATGGGGAGTTTATCATGCCTTCGATTTTGCCTTTGCAGAACTGGTTAGAACAGGAACGTTTTAAAGGCCCGCCCTCTAGTGGTGATCCTGTGGAACGCCGGGCGAGCTGGGAGCGCTGCTGCAGGGCTGGCACTGGTCCCTTGAGAGGTGCTCACACTTTGCAGGAACTCGAAGGCTAAACAGCTGGGCGTTGAGTCCCTTTGCACACTCCTGAGAGTGGCCCGGTCTGCCTTAGGAAGGGAGCGGGGCGTTTAACCCCCTTCACCTCCTCATCCTGATCTCGCTGCTGGGACTTTAAAGGGCACGGCCCTCCAGCCAAGGCGCAACGTTTATGGAAGAGGCAGGGATGTTCTAAAACAGCTCATTTGCCAGGCAGATAACTCTCTGGAAACTATGCATAGAACACTCCATCTAGTTCCTCTC